GAAGCGGTTTCCTGCTGGATGCTTGCGGCGTATTGGGACCGAAATCCAGGCCCTTCGCAGCCCGCTGGAGGAAGCCCCTCTCACAAGGCCTAAACTTTTCAACTTCTGCTGTTAGGAAGAACAGCTGAAAAAAACCATCTGCGAGGCTGTATAAGTTTCCTCGACAAACTGAAACGAGTCAGCTGGAGAAATGTGTAACATAACATATAAAAATGCAAACAATTTTCTTCTATTCCCTGAACTGCACTCAAAACGTTGTGAGGAAGTTTGCAATTTCTTTACAAGTCCCTTTAGGAGCCACCAAAAGAAACGTTTGGATGCGGGCCACCAGGAGCTGCTCCTACACGGCAAAGGGACCGGTTCGGAGGCAGGGTGATTAAAATGAACATTTCCCACTCGTTAATGAAAGCAGCAGGGCATCGTTTGCAGTCACCCCATGGAAGTAAACTCCTGTGGTTTTACTTTGCACATCTTTTCCTCATGAGTTCAAGGAAAAAAGGTTTCTCTTCCAACGTCCAAGCAGAACGCGCAGGAGGACTCTGTAACGCTTGCCACAGCTGATGCACTTTCCACGTTCCTGTTCTTCCCGTATTGGTTTCCTTTCTTGCACCAATCCTGATTTGCAAAATGACCTCTCCTTGGGAACAATGAGGATACTCACCCATAATGTGCTTTAAACTTCCATAATATGACAATGCTTGGCAGTCATTCACTGCTTTTCAGCCACAGATCTCAAATCAATTTGCTACAGCCCTGCATGGAATTGACTTGCTTGTAAGACAGAGATGAACACTTGCTGTGCAATTAAAAAAAAAATATAAATGAGCAAAATAAAGTAGACTTCATTAAAAACCAAACTATTTCCTCCTCCCTTGGTGTGATTTTCCTAAGGCACAATCCTGGCCGCAAACGGGGCTCTTCCGCAGCCCCCAGCCACAGAACCCAAGATGCTCGTTTTCGGCCAAATGAGAACGGTTCACAGCCAGGTCAGAGCCGTCCGGTTAGAAAGCTCTTCCCTCAGCGAGCTATAACTGCGGCCATAAACCAGAAGCATTCCTCCACTCGGTTATAAACATGGAAGAAATTAGCCTGCTCGTTCCCCCCTCCCCGGTTTCTGAAGGGAAGACAGCCAAGGCACCTCGGCAACGACACCTCCAAGGAAGAGAAGGACCAAGGGGACAGGCAGGGTGCGACGGGCAGCAGAGCTGGTCCTGCTCCTCCCGCAGCGGACAGAGAACAAGGGCAGCCGTGCAGCTGACCCCACCAAAGCAGGGGCTCCACTGAAGAGCCAATGCATGGTTCCAAAACACAAGTGCCCGGAGCCACCGGAGATGCCGGCAGGGGCTGGGGGGGGAGGCGTAGGAGCTGCAGGAGACTTGCACTGTGCTGGAACAGCGGCACCCCGAAGAGCATCGAGGGCAAGCGATGGTATGGTGCCCGAGAGCGGGCCAAACCCACACAGGCAGCAGCACCCTGAGCACGCGTGTAGCCTGGGAATGCTCCACAAAGCATGGGGAAAGCAGAAGGGAAGTGGTTTTCCATCCACTGACATACCACAGCACTCGGCTGGTGCTGCCACCTTCCTGGTCCCTGCGCAGGTGGCTCTGCCTGCAGTGACAGCACCACCACCCTTCTGCCCCACCACCTCCTCCACAGCCAGTCCCACCTCCCTGCCCTTCGAAAACACAGGACCACAGAGCTGTTCAGGGCAAGGGACCGCGGGATGTCCCCGCTAGTCCAGCCTGGGGCTCACACCAGGGCCAGCTCTGAGGTCACACCAGGTGGCTCCAGACTTGACCCAGCTGCATCTCAAAAACTTCCAAGAGTGGAGACTGCACAACCTCTCCGGGCAACCTACCTCCCACCCAACCACCCACATGGGAAAAAGGGTGTCCTCACAGCCAGCCTGGACTTATTCCCCCTACGTCCGCTGTGTCTCATTCTCCCACTGTGGTGAGCCTGGCTCCTAGCTAACCACCTTGCAGCTATTGGAAGAACTCCAGGGACTGGAGCATCTCTCCTATGAGGAAAGGCTGAGGGAGTTGGGCTTGTTTAGCCTGGAGAAGGCTGAGAGGGGACCTTATAAATGCTTATAAATATCTTAAGGGTGGGTGTCAAGAGGATGGGGCCAGACTCTTTCAGTGGTGCTCAGTAACAGGACAAGGGGCAATGGGCACAAACTGAAGCATAGGAAGTTCCGTCTGAACATGAGGAAGAACTTCTTCCCTCTGAGGGTGACGGAGCCCTGGAACAGGCCCACAGAGCTCCCTTCCAACCCCGAACATTCTGTGATGCTGTGATACTGCAGGCTGCTCTTGGGTCCCTCTGCAGCTGAATGTCTCCTCTCCAGGCTGAACAAGCCCAGCTCCCCCAGCCTCTCCTCTCAGTGCTCCAGCCCCCTGAGCTTCCTGGGGTCACCCCCACCTCCCCCGCAGTCTCACTCCGATTCTTTGCATTTTTGTTGGATTAGGGAGCCCCAAACTGGGTGCAATATTCTAACTGGGGTCTAAGGAGTGGTGAGTACAGGGAGGTAACCACTCCCCTGGGCTGCTAGCGGTGCTGCTGTTCATGCAGCCCAGGATGCTGCTGGCCCTTGCTGCCAGGCTCCCTGCAGGAAGATTCAGCTTTGTGGTCTGCCAAGACCCCCGGGTCCTCACACAGGTTACCGTGCCTGGACAGGGCTGCTTCAGGAGCTGGAGATACCAACAACCCTGAGAGAGAAAGGGGGGGGTGTGCGAGCAGGGGATGCGCAAGGGTTCTCTCAGGGTGGGTCAGACCCCAGCCCCGCTTGTGACACTGCCTAGGGTAACGCAGGGCACCCCAGCCCTCACCCAGCACATCACAGCCTGACTCGGGCATCCGAGGGCTTCAACTCACCACCTCTAACGGACCCAGCGGCAATGACAGATGCAATTACCTGCTTAGCTTTTTGCCCTGGCCCTGCACAAGGTAACAGCTCTGCTGGCAAGCAACACCGCACCCACGCGTCAGCCACCACGGCGCACGCATACCCTGCGATAGGGAACGACCCCGCTTTGTGCTTTTGTGCTGGGCTGAGAGCCACAGCAGCTGCAGGGCTATCCAGCTGCCTGGGGCCTCCCTGAGGCTGAGATGAGCAGGCAGCAAGGAGAAGATGGCCACTTCTCTGGCACTTACTTAACTATGCTGGTTCATAAGCCAGTGCCCCGAGACAGGAGGCCAGGCACCTTGCTGTCAGCAGAGCCACAGAGCCCTCCAGAGAATAATTCAGAGCGTCCAAGTTCGGCTCCTGCGATGAATCACACCCTGTATCTCTCCCTCTCCACGCTGACCGCGTGCTTTGGCTCCTCAGATAAGATACCTGAAGCCAAAAGAGCAAATTCAAAGCAATTTCTCTCCACATTCGTTTTTTTTCCCCTGTACAGGTCTGAACGGGCAAGTCAGCACAAGCTCAGCAGGCTGCCCGCCTGGCCATGGATGCTCGGCAGCGCGCCGAGGGAAGCACCTATGGCCCTTCTCTCTCCTGCCATGAAACGGTTTGGATCTGATTCACACAGCAGATCTTACAGCAGCCGAACACACTGAGTTGCTCCTTTCACACAGCTGTTTTCAGTCACTTATTCAAGGACACCACACTTGCCTGCATCCCTGAAATGAGCCATAACGCTATTTAAGCCAACTTTGTTCCTCTCATTTGTACTCATAGAGTTCACTGATGCTGTGCCCTGTTCTAGGACCTTGAATTACCCACGTCTTGATCAAACACTCAGTACAAATTTTAAGGTACTAAAAATTCTTCTGAAAATCTCACCCTTACATTTTTAGGAAGTATCTTACATTTAGAAAATTCTTTACTTGATTACTCTATAAGATTAATTAATTTTATTGTTCCCAGCTAGGACCACTCATTTATGTCCTGGCTTTTGGTCTTTGTAAGAAATTCACTCGTTCAGTTTCTGTTTGATTACCATGTGTCTCAGCACTAAACTAACCAGGTTTCCAGCACTGCAAGGGAATGAAAATATCGCCACGTACTCACTGACTTTTAAAAATAAGTATAAAAACGTGTTTATTAAAATTTTAAAAAGTTGTCACACATAAAAAAATTCTTTGCCTTTTTTCAGGCAAAACCAAAACGTCTTTTTGCCTCTGTAGGTGGCAGCAGCATACTATCAGATGATCATAAGAAAGGGGCGCTGGATCCCATCTCTTCACACGCTCTCCCAGTACAGACCTGACTCTCCAGACCAGGGTTACCTCCGCAGGAACACCATGCCCTCACATAACGTAACTCATTTGCACTCCCAAAAATCTGTTCAAATAAAGCAACGCAAAAGCCAGTGAAGCTGCACGTTATCGCACATGGCTGCAATGGTTTCCCTCTCGTGCAAACGTCGGCCCCTGAAGTGGCAGGCACCGCGTTAGTGCTGCACGGAGCGAAACGCGCTCTCGCTCTGCCGCAGCGACGTGGGTATCCGGTGGGCACAGGGGTCAGGCCCACTGATGCCCAGGCTGCACTGCTGTGGGACTGGACTCAGCCGCACCACTTCACGAGGGCAGATTTGTAGCAGAAACGAGCTCAGGCGCTTCGGGATAGAGGAAAACACAGGGCTGACCTGGGAGGACAGGCAGCTCACCACCTTCTCAAGCTTGTAAGTTGTCAATGGAGCAAAGAGCAGGACTTGGAGGAGGGGGGAAATCTCTGCTCTTCGAGTTGGCTTTACCCCAGGCACCTCTGGGGCAGGCCGCACACGCTGCGCACGTACGAGGACACAGCTGTCGCAGCCAGCGGGTTCAAGCCCTGCTCCCCCCGGCCTCCCCTTCCCCTCCCAGCAGCCAGTCCAGCTCCACCGGCACGGCGCGCATGAGGACACAGCTGTCGCAGCCAGCGGGTTCAAGCCCTGCTCCCCCCGGCCTCCCCTTCCCCCCCCAGCAGCCAGTCCAGCTCCACCGGCACGGCGCGCATCCCACCAGCATGGCCGCGCAACACGCACCTCCCTCCATCTCCCATGCGCCCAGCATCATCTCCCAGCCCAGGACTGAGAGGGGCTGGGGACGATGCTCCCCTCTGACTCTCCCCTTCCGCCCGGGGGTGAGACCACCTCCTCCCTCGGGCGCATCCCCAAGGACCCCCCAAGCCCTGCTCCGTCCCCT